AAAAAAAAAAAAAAAAAAAAAAAAAAAAGCTTGGGAAGGAAATCCCTGCAGCTGGAAGCAACATTTATGAAGCCATTAAAAATACATTCCATAAAGTATATATGACTGTTTAGAAAAAATTTATTTGAACATATGAAAGGAAAATTTAGACACCCCCAACAAAGCAAAGAAATTCCTTTCCGAAGTAAGGGGGATTCCTGACAGCTTCCCTGAGCAGTGCTGCACACAAGCTTCTGGTCACTATAGGCAGCCTGGGCTCAGCTCCCGGGGCTGCAGAAAGAGCCTGCTTTATCTGGTGGGGACACATCATCTTCACGAGGAAAGAGGCCAGACACACACGGGCTTGCACCTGCGGCTCCTGCCATCACACTCCTCACCACACAGGCTGTGTGTCTGAAATGCGTATAGAACAGAGGCTCCCAGCATCGGCATGTTTTAAAAATGCCTGCATCAGCCTCTCGGCAGAGGGCTGGACTCTTCCCTTCACCATCCAATCTGGATGTCTAAGAATGCGACCGGGTGGGAAGCACCTGGACTCCGTGACGTCAAAGCTCCCGCACCCAGACGATTCTGCCAGCGGGGAGGGGCTGCCCTGCCGCTTCCCCGACGTCCTCTTCAGGGGGGCCGACCACCCCTTCCTTCTCAGAAGGCTTCGTCCAGCGAGGGTGCAGAAGGCACACGCAGGCCAGCCTAGCGGATCGGCCTGAAGGGGAATGTCACGCCCGAGATGAAGGTGTGCCCGGGGTGAGTGGGCAGGGCGGGGTGGGCGGCAGGGTGGGCCGGCACGGCCCCATAGCCCAGCGGGGGCGTGTGGATGTGGGGGTAGAAGCCCGGGGGGAGCGCGGCGTGAGGCGGCTGCTGCACTGGGCCCGAGATCACCAGCTGGAGGAGGCTGCGAACACAAGGAGAAGCGTCAGCACGGGCTCTGGGACTTCGCAGGTGCACACGGCAGGCGGGCCCCATTCCCCCGCACCCCGCCCGGGAGAGGCACCGACGCAGGCACGGACCACTCGGGGGGGTCCAGGCGGTGGACGCGGAGCAGTAGTGGCAGTGCCAAGACCCTGCAGGTGAGGATGCGCAGGAGCGGGCTCTGCGCAGGGCCCGTGGCCCACGGGAGCTCCCGCCGCGGCCCCCACGGCACCCGCGCCCTCTGCGTCCCGGACCGCAGCCTCCATGTCAGCCTCTGCGGCTCTCTGCTGCGCTGCGACACACAGGACAGCCGGCCACAGTCTCCTCAGAGCCGTGAAGACCGCGTCCTACCTGAATTCCAAGCAGAAGCCCCAGGAAGCTGGCCTTGCAAACGACCCAGAAATTCAGAGTCCTGAAATTCAGAATGAGTCCGGTGCGGCCCCCTCGGGGACGGCCCAGGCCTGGACCCAGCCCTTATGGACCTCCGGGACCTGCCCACCTCCCACCCAGCCCCGTACAGCTTCAGCTTCAGACTCCCCTACTCTTGGGTACCCACCCCGCCCAGCACCCAGCACCAGGGCTCTGAGAACAGCTGCACGCCCTCCCCATCCGCCACCCCCTCCCACCAAGGACCGTGGGCCCGAGAGGCCTGGACCTCCCTTCCCCGTGGTACAGCACACCCACGGCCCCCACTTCCTGGAATCCTCCTCCCCCCAAATTCAACAAGGCTTTCCCAAGGCCGGGTCCCTTCCCAGACTTCTGAAAGAATTTCTCATGGCCCTTACCTTCTAACGACACCCTCCTCAGGATGATCCCCCAAACCCCCAGACTCCCTGGCTTGGCTCATCACCCCAGCTCCCCCAGCTGGGGCATCCTGCCCACCCCGTGCTATGTCAACCGGAAGGGACCAAATCCCCATGGGTTCTCCCCAATCAGAATCCCTCTTGGTGGGGTCTGCTGGCTCAGGCCTGTAATCCCAGTACTTTTTTTTTCTTTTTTTAAGAGATGGGGTTTCACCATATTGGTTAGGCTGATCTCAAACTCCTGACCTCAGGTGATCCACCAGCTAGCCTCCCAAAGTGCTGGGATTACAGGCATGAGCCACCACGCCCAGCCAATCCCAGCACTTTTGGGGGCCAACTGCTTGAGGCCAGGAGTTCAAGACCAGACAGAGCAACACAGTGAGACCCCATCTCTATAGAAAATAAATTAAAAATTAGCTGGGCGTGGTGGCACACACCTTTAATCCCAGCTACTCAGGAGGCTGAGGCAGGAGGACAACTTGAATTCAGGAGTTCAGGGCTGCAGTGAGCCCTGGGCCATGACTGCGCCACTATACTCCAACCTGGGAGACAGAGTGAGAGCCTGTCTCAAAGAAAAAACAAAGGCCCTCTGGGGCCCTCCCGGCTTCAGGTCCCAGGTCTCCTCCCTATCCTGCCTTCCCCTTACTTCCCCCATCGGAAGTTTCTGCTGCAGACAGACAGGCTCTGCTCACCCCTCTCCTGACCTGCCCCAGGATCCCACCCTGGCTGGGTCCTGTGTCAGCAGCCCGTGTTGGTCTCTCCCAACACCAAGTCCAGCCTGCCAGGTCCTGCTCACACCGTCACTCAGCCAAGGCTGTCTGTCTCTGCACACTGCCCTAACTGGGCTCCACAACAGCCCGTTTTCCAGGCCACTTCACCCTTCTGTGGGCCCTGCCTGCTCTCTGCCGACCCCTTGCTCTATCAAGGGGTTAGTCTGTCACGGACTGAACCCCCAAGTCCCCCAGTACAAAGGCTTGGGCGCAGGGCTCCCAGGAGGGGCTCAGGCAGTAAACAGAGGGTATGTGGAGGGCTGGTACCTTTTAGTGCCCAAAGCTCTTCTGAGCCACTTTTCTTTCTGTTATTACTTTTTAAATAACTCTGGGTAAGTAATTTAGCGAGAAATTAACCAATCCAAGGAAGAGATACAGCAAGGGCCAAATTTCAGTCATGTGATGATTGGAACCTGCACACCCTGCCAGAAATAGAAAGCACTTAAAGAAGTTTCCAGTCTAGTTGGGAAGATGACAAACATGGAGAACATCAGGAATCTAAGAGGTAGGCTAGGCATGGTGGCTCACACCTGTAATCCCAGCACTATGGGAAGCTAAGGTGGCCAGATCACCTGAGGTCAAGAGTTCGAGACCAGCATGACCAACATGGCGAAAATCCTTCTCTACTATGATGGTGGGTGTCTGTAATCCCAGCTACTCAGGAGGCTGAGGCAGGAGAACCACTTCAACCCGGGAGGTGGAGGTTGCAATAAGCCGAGATCACGCCACTGCACTGCAGCCTGGGCAACAGAGCGAGACTCTGTCAAAAAAAAAAAAAAAACAAAACACAAAAAAACAAAGAGGTATTATTCCAGGTGACCCTGACCTTCCCCCATAGCAGTGCCAGGACTGCCCCTGGGAGCTCGGGGCTCCCCAGATCGGCATCAGGAGAGGTGGCCACCAGCTCCTTGGAAGGGACAGAGTCAGAGGCTCCAGAGCAGGACCAGCAGGGGACTGGTGAGTAGTTCCAGGGGGCTCCAGGGCATACCCCTAGTTATGAGACTCATGATACAAGGATTTGTATCCCACTGCCTTTATAATTCCCGAAAATACTAAAATGTTGAATAATTAAGCAGTGGGAAAAGGAGAGAACTATCACAAAGGGATTCCTGCAGGAGGGGAAAGGTGCCAGCTGAAACCAACAATGTTCTCCAATGCTGTGGAAGCTTCTAGAACCCAGACCAGAAAAAAGGAAGAAGAGGCCGGGCACAGTGGTCATGCCTATAATCCCAGCACTTTGGTAGGCAGAGGCAGGCGTATCACTTGAGGTCAGGAGTTTGAGACCAGCCTGGCCAACGTGGCGAAACCCCGTCTCTACTAAAAATACAAAAATTAGCCAGGCGTGGTGGCACACACCTGTAATCTCAGCTGTTTGGGAAGCTGAGGCAGGAGGATTGCTTGAATCCAGGATGCAGAGGTTGCAGAGAGCTGAGCTTATACCACTGTACTCCATCCAGCCTGGACAACACAGCGAGACTCTGTCAAAAAAAAAA